TTTAACCCCACAGTTTGTTATCTAAATTGAATTAGATGAACAACAGTTTCTTCATTTTCAGTCATTAGAAAGTAGATTCGTTCTCAGGTTAAGTTAGAAAAGGAAATATACTTAACTTCCAAAAGAGAAAGGCAATTTCTTAATCTTATTTTAGTTAATTTAACTACATTTATAAAACTGTTTTAGTTACCAAGTTACAGTTTTAAAGTTTTAAGTTAAGCTTAAAAAGGGAAGGAACATATGCCAAAAACATGAGGAACATCAATCTTTCTAAAATAAAGTTAATTCTATTTTAGTATGAGAACTTATAATTTGATGTTTTAAATGGATTAGATTCTGACAGTTACAGATTTAGGTGGTGATGGGCAACCTAAAAAGCTAAAATACATAAACTGCTACAAGAAATGTATAAAGTGTGCAATATTTTAGAAAGACTCATATATTATTATAAATGCATGTATGGTTGTACTTATATAAGTTTAAAAACATATTTAGTAGGGTTGTGCAATGTGATATTCTTGGAAGATTTCATTTTAAAGACTAGAAGTGTTTTTTTTTTGTTTTTTTTTAATTAAATCTGCAAACCTCTCACTTGTGCTTGAAAATGAATGACTAAAGATATTAAAATAAAAGAACATTAGCAGCATATTGATTAAGTCAAAAATATAACAAGGAAATGTTAATCTGGATTTAAAAGTACACATTCACTACATTTTAACAGGGAAGTTTAGGTCAGCAGGCAAAATGGAGTTATGGGACTCTCAAAGGGGAAGTTAAACCTGGAATTTTTCATGCAGGTAGAAATATTGGCAATATGGAGCAAGAATATTATTTTAAATAAAATATGAATTTTGTTTTAAATAAAATAATAGGCTTGTAAGTCTAACGACTTACCTCCAGTGATCATAGCGATCCCTAAACATACTGTAAGTTGGAGGTGCTTTGAAAGCTGAAGTTCTATATTTCAAAAACCAATGGCACATTTAGCTAATTAAGAGACAATATCTAACCATGAACTATTATTTTCTGATTCTTCCAGCTCTGCTTTGTGATGTTTTGGACGCCTAATGTATCGGAGAAGATCTTGATTGACATCATTGGAGTTGATTTTGCTTTTGCGGAACTCTGTGTCATTCCTCTCCGGATCTTCTCCTTCTTTCCAGTTCCAGGTATGTAGAAAACAGAAGAAATGAATGGTACACACCAGTGGTGGGATTCAGCCAGTTCGCATCAGTCCGGGAGAACCGGTTGTAAAACTTTCTGAGCAGTTTGGTAAACTGGTTGTGGGAAGAAATCATCAGAGCAGAGAACCGGTTGTTAAATTATTTGAATCCCACCACTGGTCCCCAACTTGACCCGTTCATGAAAAAATGACTTCTTCAAGGTTTCCCAAGCCTGGAGTCAGTTGTGTTAACGCCCCATCGTTTAGGTTGAAGAAGGTGGATCAAACCTTTACTAGAAATGTATTATTTTGAGAGGGCACCAAACTATATTACAAGGATCTTAGTTTAGTAGCATATTAGCCAAAGGATTTTTTTTTATTGGAAAATCCTATTTTTTAAGCAACAGGAGAAATCAGATTTTGCTACTGATAGTGTATCGTAATTCCAGATATTGGTTCCACCACAAAACCGCGGTAGACTAAAGCGCGCTCGACGAAAGCGTGTACCTGACGTCATCACAGCGCGACGAAAACAGCACGCTGTGAG